AAAAAATACTTACTTTTGAAGCACATACAACAGAAGTTAGAGAAAGAAAGAAAAGAAAAAGAAGGTGTTCTTGGTGTTATTAATAAAGTTCATGATGTTCTTTAAGTTTCTGAAGAAAAAGTGACTCCAGATGTTCTTGTTGAGGGAGAGTCAAGTGTTTCAAGTCTTTCAGAAGGTTCACAATCCGAATCTATTTGTTCTGAAGAAGAATCTCAAAGTAAATCTTGGAAATCATGAAAGTGAAGGAGTTTTGTTCTATTGGAACAACTACAGATGATTTTTTGTGTGTTGATGATGTATTTGAAGGATTGGTTCCTTACAAAAAGCTAATAATTAAATATGTTCAGATTTATCAAACTCCTAAGGATTGTGTTCAAAAGTCTTCAAATGTTTAGATTCAGAAAGAAGAAAAAGTTATCCAGATCCGAAATTTATTTCTGAAGCCTAGAAATAAAAAAAGGAAGAAGAAGAGAAAGAACAAGAGTAAAACAAAGAAGGTTTGGATGCCCAATGTACAAGTACCCAATGCTTGTGAAAAGGTTGAGAAAGTTGATGTCAAACATGCTTAAAGAATCTCTGATTCTCATTTTTCTTCAGTTAAAAATGTTAGAAGTTGGAAGGAAAAGAAAAGAGAATTCGGTTGGTTTAATGAATTTTTTGGAAATTTTTGTTTTCCAACTAAAAAACGGGTATTATTTTCAGAAGATGATAGATTTTCTTCAAATAAGTGGGTATGCAAGAAACATACTTCAATGTTGAATCTTAAATGGGTACCAAAAGTCCCATAAAAGTTTTGTCCTTAAAAAAAAAAAAAAAAAAAAACGAAAATGGGGACAAAATTTTGGTGAAATTTGGTGGATTTGGTTCAAAGATATGATATTGTGTTGAAGAAATCAAATTTATTGTTTTTTTTTGTGTTGGAATTGACAAAAGGCTGAAAAAGTTGAAAAATGGGTGAAAAGTGTCATTTTTCTACAAAAAGAAAGCTGTCTTCTAACACTTTTTTGCTTAAAGGGTACAAACTGTCAGTTCTCTGCAATCAGGAGGGTCAGATTCGGTTTTATTGGAAAATTGGGGTTAGTTTCGCTTGTTTGCTGTTCCCGTTCTTTGATGTTCGGTAAAATCCAAGAGCGAATACTCACAAGATGCATTTGCTAAATCATAGAAGCGAACCTCACGAATAAGAACATAACTCATAGAAGCGAACCTCACGAATAAGAACCCAACTCATAGAAGTGAACCTCAAGTTAAGAAGCAAAACTCTGATTAAGAACCGAACTCACAAGAACCGAACCCGAATTTACTGTTCATAGGCGAACGTTTCGCTTTGGGTATGAAATTGAAGCGAACTTGCGATTCGCTTTCGGTTCATGAACGATTGGTTTGGAGCGAATGTCTAGTAGATAGTCTGGAAGCGAAAGTATTGAAGCGATGTTCGTCTCTCGCGTCAAGACACCAAAACGAAACTGAAGTTCGCTTTCGGTTCATCATCAATTGACTAGATTTAGAAACGAACGTAGAGGATTAAGTTCGCGTCCTAATTTGCATCTACAAGTTTGCGTTCAAGGCTCACAATTTGTAAGTGAAATCAATTAGTTCGCTATTTAGCACTCCCAATTGGCGACGAAGGTCTCAGAATCACATTCAGTAGTTAGTTCGTTTCTGAAATCGGAACGAAAATTGATTCTTGAGTCGTATTCACAGTCAATGTTGAAGGTTTAAAATCGCTTGTTCATATGATTTTGACGTTTGTTGTCGCTCTTCAGAATTCAACTGTGCAATCGTACAATCGTTCGACACTCGGGAGTTCTTTGTTTTGGCGTCTGTAATCGGGATTTACAAACGAAATTGAAGTCGAAATTGGCTTGTAAAATCAAATCTCGATGAGGTAATGGGCATTTCATGGGTACCTGATTTCGATCTAATGTTCTTGGAATTTTGTTTTAAGAATTTTGACTTTCAGAAGTCAATGAAACGTCGTTCCCTGAATGAACGAATAAGATGACTCAATGTTACAACTTCAGACCCCGAAAGTTATCAAGCTTTACAGTTTCAATTTTTTTTAACGTTGTTATTTCTTTCAGCCCCCTGACTTTCAGACCTTCACAAGTTCAACCCCATATCCGAAATTCTTTACAAATTTCTTGGATTTTTACCATTTTATCCCCTTCTTACCAAAATATTTTCTTTTCTTATCCTTTTCTTTGGTCTTATTCTTTTCAAACCCTTCTAAATAATTGCTTCTTTTCTATTCTTTTGTCTAAATTTAAAATCGAAAAATACAAAATTATTTTTTGTTATTTTTCCGGTTTTAATTTTTGAGAATTGGGTTTATTTTAAAGGGATTTATTTCATCATATCTGACGGGTTTTGAAGATTGTTGGTGATTCTTCTTAACTTTTCGGATTCTCTCCATGACATTTGTTGAAGATTCAAGGGGGAGTGATGATTATTCAAGGGGGAGTTCGTATTTGGAAGATTGTTCTTATTTCTCTCGCTTTGAAGACCCCCTGTGCTGATGAGTATCACAATTTAGGGGAGAAATGCCAAGAAGATCGGAAATCGTGATCTTCATCAGTTACAACATCTAGGGGGAGATTGTTGAATATTTGAGATATTGAAACTGATATGGCATATTTGGTTATTTAGGGAAGCCTTTTTAGGGTTAATCATTTTATGATTTCCTACGATGCCTTTATAGTAGAAGTTCTTAATCGAGCTCTTGTAAGACATTGGTTTTATATTAGACATAGATTTTATATTTATGGCATATATTTATTGTTCCCTATAAATAATCATTAGGTTTACTTTTGGTGTAAGCTTTTTACCAGATTAGGGTTTTTCTCTGTACGTTCATCTCATAATCAATATATGAAAAACCTTTATCAGATTACTTGCATATGATGGTGATTGATTCTTGATTGTTTTTGATATTCCGCATTCGTCATCTCAGATTTATTCCTAACAGACACAAATACATAAATTGATATCGAGCAATAGAGCATGAATCACCCTATCACCGTACACATCCTATGAAGCATCTACAGGAAACACAAAAAAAGCTACCTATTGCATTTCAAGGTCTAATATACTGTAAATCTTACTCAATATCTTTTCCACTTAAAGGTATGTATCTCACAAGTTCATACATTTACATGCATTGTACTAACTTAATATTAATAAACTTCATATGGTATAAATTTTACGTATTAAATTTAAAAAAAAAATTAAAAAAAAAACAACAATAAGAACTATCTTACAATTTTAACAGGAATTAATGGATGATTATCTATTTTAATGCATACAGGAGCTACGTGAAGAATAACTTGCTTGGCATGAAACCAAAAGGGACTTAAATTAGCACCATTCTCTGTTTCTAGTTGTCGAGCACAACTTTGAATAAAACAAGCCTCCGACCTGAGGATACGTGTCGAGCTTTCCATGTAAAGAGTTTAACTTTGAATTTAGCAATTGAGGGAGACCAATTGGAGATTCTATTCATCTTGGCTCCCACCTAGACACCAATATATGTGAAAGGGAAAAATCCAATGACACATCTAAGCCGGTTAGCCATAGTATTTATTTCATGCTCATCCATCCCAAAGCCCATTACCTTGCTTTTGTCAAGATTCACTTTGAGCCCGGATGCTAGATAAAAGCACCTTAAAATCCGAACAAGATTCATGGTGTTCTCTTTGGACCATTCTCCTAAGAAGATAACATCATCTTCATACCGAAGGATATAGAGATTGGGACCATTATTTGGAAGATGAGTCCCTTCATAAATATCATTCCCAATAGCTTCCATAATAGCCGCCTTAAGGCCTTCCGCGACAATGATGAATAGGAAGGATGAGAGTAGATCTCCTTAGCGCACACCTTTTGGAAGTTTAAATGGGCCAACCCTTTTATTAAACAAGCTAGGTTAGAAGAAAAAATAAACTAGGTCAAGAGGATTTCATCCCATTTAATAAAAACATTGTGTTGGGTTGGGAAATCAACCCGTTTTCTTAATCAGCTTGTTGTAATGAGTTGAGATTTGCAACAGGTTTAATTAAAATGGTCAACCCGAAAATGATCCAACCCAAACCAATTTATTGCCACCCTAGATGATTGTGATCTACTAATGGGTATTGTGACTTTCTTGGACCTAACCTGATTAGTTGGAAGTTTAAGAAAAAACATAATGTTGTCCGATCTAGTACCGATGTTGACTATAATGCCTTTCCTAACACTGTTGTTGAGCTCTGTATATGTGAGCTTCATATTCCCAATACTTGCCCACCAACCTTATGGTATGACCACAATGATGCTAAATACTTAGCGCTCAATCCGGTCATTCAATAACCTGTTAAACATATTGAGATTTATATTCATTTTAGATAGTTTATAATAGGGTTTTATGCCGCAAAGTCTTATTATTTTGGAAACTTCTTGATAAATTTCTAAAAGAAAATTGAACAGAAAATCCCGATTATTCAGTAGTTTGTCTAAATTAACGAAAAAAATTTTATTTTTATTTTAACAGAAAATGATAGATTATCGTGTAAAATTAAATAATCAAGACATTTCTATTAAAATAAATATAATTTTATCAAAAAATTTCCGAAATATTGAGACTTTTCTACATAAAACCTTTACAATATATTGTTGAATAAATGCTAATTTAGTCATAGTTCATAGTAATTCTCACTTTGTAACATTTGAGTTTAATTAAAATTATCTAAGAAACAATACATGATGAAATCGAATGAATTGTTGTTTCTAAAAGAATAAAGTAAAATTTAATAAATTGTTGTCCCTAGAAAAATATAATTTAAATTAAACTAAGTTGCAAAAAAACGTAGTCCATGATCATTACGACAGACACATCCATCTCTTACCAGCCGTCGTGCTCCAGTGTAATCAATCATCCACCATACTCCTCCCTCTTTGACATATACAAATTCAAGAAAATAATTTCATCACCTCTCACTATAAAACGTCCAAAACCACCATCACAAAAAATATGCCCATCCAAATTCGATTCAAAGATATAGAACAACCAAGACCATATGGACACATTCTCCAACGTAATCTTTCTATTCTGCATAGTGGTATCAATTGTCTTCGCGTCTGCTGATGCTGCTTATGGAGTTGCTAAGCTGCCGGAGATCCCTCACAAGATGAAAGAAAAGGAAATTCCTAAACCCATTGCAGTTCAAGGCCTTATATACTGTAAATCACGCTCTAAATTCCTTCCACTTAAAGGTATCTCACAAGATCGTACATTTACATGCATATTACTAACTTAATATTAATAAAATTCATATGGTATATATTTTACGTATTAAAATTCAAAAAAACAGGAACTATATTACAAATTTAGCAGGAATTAATGGATGATTATCTATTTTAATGCATACAGGAGCCACGGCAAGAATAACTTGTTTGGCACTAAACCAAAAGGGACTTGAATTAGCACCATTCTCCGTCTCAAGTTGCCCAGCTGATGATAAGGGTTACTTTTTAGCCAAACTGTCCCCTCCATCGTCGAAGTTCTTAAAGAATGCTCAGTGGGAGCTCAAGGAGTGCAAGGCCTTCCTGGAGAGCTCGCCTTTGAAGGACTGCAAGGTTCCTTTGGATATTAATGGAGGGGTTAAGGGTGCTCATATTATTTCTTCTTATCGTCTCCTTAAAAATTCAAATCTCTATTCACTCAAACCCTTTTTCTACACCGGTGATAAACCTCAGACAGTCTCCGATAACAAGAAATATTAACAAGAGAATATGGATTTACTCTTGCAATATTTACATTCTTTTCCCTCTAATTTTCAAATGTACTTTATTCTTGTTATCTTATATTTCTCTTCCTTTTGCTGTGCTTGAAGATAATTGTCTTTTTTGTCTCAAATCTCAATTCAAGTGCAAATTCTTATTGTTCACATCATAGCAAGAAAGAACAATTATAATCAATATGACGTTCTATTTTTGATGATATTGAGTTCAAACCATATAAGCTACACAACAAGAAAATAGGCTTTATCAACTCCGCCTATAGTGGTGACACCGCTATTAGCGGCGACAATTAAAACAATGCGTCTAAATGTTATTGCTAATCGTTGGCATCGCCACTAAAAGCGACGTTCGCTGAAACATATTCGTCGTGATCCGTGTGAAATTTGAACCAATTAAAGCATCTAACCGTTGATTGTATCCGTCAATCCAATGGTTGGCATCCCCTCTCGATAACTGTCTTTTGCGACAACAGATACATTTTTATAGTACGGACCTTGGCTAATGTAAAATGCATTGGACTAGTTGAATAAGTATTATATTACATAAAGATAATCGTGGGTTTGGTTTTTGGATCAGTCTTTCTACTTTTAATAATGTGTTTCTTTTCAAACTAGAAATTGTGAACACCCCTCTTCGCGGGATGTAGTGATGGCATAATATGTAAATGTTATAGCGGATATAGACCATTTTTGTAATTTTTTAAAAAGATTTGGCATTTTTGAAAAGAAAAATCATAATAAGGGCCTTTCATAAATTGCTACGAAAATAATAGTACTTTAATAACATAAACTAAAAATAAGCGAAATCTAATAAAAAAGAATTGTGTGTCCAATGTGGCACACTATAAGAATAATAATCAATAGTAGCGACGTTTTTAGTAGGGACTTTTAGCGACGACATAAAAGAAACGCTTTTGTTATCGCCGCTGAAAGTCATCATCGCCGTAAAAGACGTCATCGCTATTGGTTGATGTTGGTGATCTTTATCTGTTGATTTAAACGACGATCTAACGACTTGGAGGACGTAGGAAACCCCATGTTGTTTTTCCCTCCGGTATATCGCTACAATTACTATGTCATCGTCGCAAATTCCGAGTCGTCGCCTCTAACGGCCGTCGTCAGTAAAAGTCATCGATCATAACCCCCTGCCTAGTCCTCAGTTTCTTTAAAAATCGTTATGTGCTTCACTCCTTCTCTCTGTCAAATTAAGTACACCACCGTCGAGATTTTCACCGACAAATGACTTTTTCCTCTGACGACTACGACATTGTTGGAAATTCTAGGACATTATCAGCGACGATTCTCATCGGCGGCGACCACCACCACTTCCGGCGACATGTGATCCTCTTCTCTGTTTTTTTTTTCTCTTTTTCTTTTCCTTTTCTCCTATCCACACTGAATATACTTATATCTTGTGTGGGTTGCCAGAATTTCCAGCATTCTGCCAAAATTTAAAGATCCCCCACAGGGAAACCTTGTTACTGTCGGAGTATATCGCCACCACCACCGTTCTCGCCGGAGTTAGCCTGTAACGCTCGTGTTTCTCGTTAAGCATAATAATAAAAGATGTATTTACTTCGGTCGACAATTGTGATCTTTTATGAATAAATGAAAGATAATTGTTTCAATATATGTGTTTATATATTGTGTACGTGAAAATTTGATAACTATTATGTGTATATAATATTTGTGTAAAAATGTATTTTTAAAAGTTAATAATTAGGGCTAAATTAAACATTAAAAATAAAATATTATTTAGGATAAATAGTCTTTGAAAATTGTAGTAGGCGTGATAATGATATCGGGGATATAAGGGACGCTAAAATCTGACTTCGTATTAAGAAATTGCGATCTCTTGAAGTTATGTGTTTAACCCCATACGGTAGAGTGTCTACTAAAAAGTGAATCGGAGATATGTTGTTTATTAGCATAAGTAATATAAATGAAAGTCATAGTAATCGTAAAAGCGAAGGCGTGTATGTAAAGAATGCCCAAATTTGACATGGTATGAAAAAGTTATGATTTTTCAAGGTTTCGGCACAACAATGTGGACATAGAAATCGAAATTAAAATTGGTTGATTGTTAGCCAAAACAATGTAAAAGAGAGTTGAAGTTCTCGTAAATAGAAAATTGTCGATATTAAGACAGTCGAGAACGGAGTTCGCATGAAGAAGTTATAAATTTTTCACGGACTTTTGCACTGTAATCTTCATAGACTATTAAATTTAAATTTGGATGAAAATTAGCCGACATAGTCTAAATCAAAGTTGTAGTGCTCACCGATAGCTACACGTGGACATAAATTATATCAAAAACGGGGTTCGTACGAGAGAGATACGATATTTAGAAGATTGAAAATCGCACCAAACACCTGCAGCCCTGTGCGGTGCGCCTGGGTAGGTGGCGCAACACGCCTGATGTTCTGGAAGGTAGGACACTAACCAAGGACATAGTGACACGTGGCGACATCTAGCAGGAGTTGCGTAGAGAAAAGATGTGTCACACCCCCGAACCAGGACGGCGGAAACGTCCGGGGGCGGATGACGTCATTGTGTAGTATCATAACAATTGAATATGAATGAAACATAGAAACCAAACATCATACATTAAAAGATACCAACCTACATTGCTTACATATTGTATTTGTTCACAAATTTACACAAAAAGTGACATAAAGTATGAATTTTCAAAATGTAGCAAATATCTTAAATCCATGGCCCAAATACCTTCTCACTGAGTCCCTGAGAATACAAGTCGTTTTGAAAAGCATCAACATAGAATGTTGGTGAGTTCATAAGTATGTTTGTATGAAAAGTTTTGTAACATCGTTGTTTGCAATAATTTGTAAAACTCCAGAAAATCCGATATTTTCTATGAAAAATGGTTTGTGAGTCTCGTTCTAAAACTGTGAATAATTGCATGCATGTACTTTGTTTTCTTTTTTATTTGTAGTTGTAAAGTGTAGATCCCCAGAAAATCCCATCTTTTCTGTTGTATGAAAAATTGTAGTCTTAAACCCTAAGACTGGAGTGGTGGTAATAATGTACTGAAAATAAAGCGTAGTTTTATATTTTATAAAACCAGTGAAGTGTGTATTTTTCGTAAATCCAAAATAATGTTGTTAATCCCTACGTGAGTCGTTACAACCATGCTTGATGTGACTGATATGCCTGTCATGTCGTTCTTCAGGCGTCCGTTTAGGTAAGATATTTGTCACCTTAGACTGACCTCGTCTAACTGTAGCGAACAACTCAGGTGTGGGGGTGTCAACCCCGTATAGATCTATACACAATTATCTCGCTCTTCCTCCAAGAGACTCTGGTTATGACTATAGGGCTTACGGTGTACGCTAGGTAGGTACGGTGAAGGAATGTGTCTCACTAGAGCATTAACGGATTTAAAAAATTTCGAGCCCCTTTATTGATTAACGAAATAACATTTCCTTCGCACACATGTGACAGCTATTTTATGACACGCTATTTGGAAGATTTCATATTATCCAGCTTAGGACGAGCTTTACAGATTTTATGACACGCAGATTCTTTACCCATGCTTTTAGAGTTTTTATGACACCTAGATTTTGACACGTTTATTTTTCTGTCATAATGTCTTACAGCTTACTACACATGTTTCAAAAGTTTTATGACAGACAGATTATGATACACGAATTTTTGTGTCATAAAAGTCTGTTTAGTTTACTATTTCAGGTATATTATTTATAATCCCTTTTTATAAATAATAATTAGTGAACATGTATAAGGTAACATATGATGTGAAAATAGCACACTATATTAAGTTTTTACGTCATCAAAATAGTAATACTTAGTCACGACAAAATAATAAGTACTTATTTTTAACAACATATCAAACTTTGTAGTTTGTTTAATACACCAAAAATTAGTTCGAAAGTTTTGTAACACAAAATATTCTAGTTTGTTGTGAAACTAGAAATTCACGATTTCTACAAAATTCATATATGACTATGAAAATTTATTATAGGTAAATATTTGTGTAAGTATAAATGTTAAAAATGTATATGTTCACAAGTTAAACATATTTGGGCCTAACACTCCTATTTTTCTCCATTTTTGAGTGTGCAATCCCATATCCACAAGTTTTCATGCAATATATATATGATGACAAACACATTTCTAATGAGTTTTATGAAGATGCATAAGGTAACTCCATGTTAATGCCATTACCCAAAGGTTAAACACATAATACATAGGTCCACGCAATTATCCAACGGTTAACCGAAACTTGACTTGTATCCCCCCCCCCCCAAAGAGTATGAAAAACATGAAAATAGTGGGGTATGAAGCTCACCTTGAGGATTTCGTGTGGTAGGAAGAAGAAGATGGAAGAAATGTCGAGCCTAGCCTTGAGCTTGGAGGTTACTCGAAAATGGTGGAGTTCTAAGAGACTATACACAAAAATGGTGTGTATACATGAGATTTGGGTTGAAGTGATGCAAAAATACTTGAAGTTTACAAGATTACTTATCAAGTTTTTGAGTGTTGCTTGAAGAAACCCTTACCAAACACACACACACACACACACGGAAATTTTGATAGAAGGAGAGGGACTTGAGAGAGTGGTGAGTGAGAGATTTGTGGGAGTGTGGGAGGGTGAGGATCGGCCGATCATAAAGAGAGAGGGGGAGAGTTTGTTTGACTTTTTGATAGTTGATGTGAAAGTATCATGGATACATGGTAGTCCATGGCTTTGTTACATGGGAGACAAACATGAGGTGGCAAGGTATTTTCCCTTTTCTTTTTCCTTTTTTTTGTTCAAACCCTAACCGAAACTATGGGGCTTCGGTTTTAAGGGTGGCCGAGAACACCCTAGCTCCAAATAGGGTTTACGGTTTTGAAGATTGTAGGGCTTTTTGGGTGTATTTTAGGTCAAATAAAAGGAGTTTTTGGCCAAAGGAAAGCCCAAAAATGAGTTTTTGGCCCAATAAGGCCCAATGAAATGTTTTTGGCCCATTAAGGCCCAAAGAAAGGATTTTCGGCCCAATAAGGTTCAAGGAAAAACTTTTCGGCCCAATGGAAGGTCCAATAAACGTTTTCGGCCCATTAGGGCCCAAGAGAGAGTTTTTGGCCCAATAAGGTCCAAAGTAAAGGCTTTTGGCCCAATAAGGCCCAATGAAGGGTTTTCGGCCCAATAAGGTGTTGGACCGAGAATTCTTGGACCAAAACCCAAAATGGATTGGACTTAGCTATTGGATCAAGTTTTGGGCTTGAATGAGGCTATTTTAACTTGAATCATAGTGTATGCACGTATGAACTCAAATAACATTGTAGTTTTGATTTCACTAATTTGGTGTTGCATGGTTACATAAGGAAGTTTTTGTACACGAATCACCCTCTTAACCCTAATTTTGCTAGTTGTGACAAGACGTGGCATGCCTGTTTATAGGGTGCAACGCGCCTCCCCATTAACCCTATAAATAGCAGCTAAATCTACCGATTTTGTTTAGTATGTCGGAATACATAAGGAATGGAATAGTGCATTCCATTTCCATTGGTTGCTTCTGTAGTGGAATGTTGTTTTGATTAGACAAAACTTGATACAAAATGATTTTATGGAATTCCATTTCATTTTCCTTTGTTAAATGTCTGCTATGCTAATACAATTAGGTAAATTCATTGTTTGTTTTTTTTGTTCAATTTAGTGCATTGAGGTTTTAACTGTTCGGATTAGGTACGAGTTTGATCCAAACCAGCTAAATGTGCAAAAGCTGGTTAGATAAGAAATTACATGAAATGTTAGTATAGACACTAACACACCATTATTTTTACCTGCTCCAGTAATTACAGTCTTTAATGGCTTTCAGGACGGATGATACATGTTCCCATAAAAAGGCTTTCGGTGTGTCGTTATAAACACCATTACTTTTACCTGATGATAGTACTTTACTTTCCAATATTCAGGTACGCTATGCAGCAGGAGGTATAGCAAGAAACATTGCCAAATGTGTATCAAAGCTTGGAACAAAGCCTTTCATGATAAGTGCATTAGGATTGGACATTCCAGGTTCAAATTCAATAGAAGGTTGATTTTTAATGAGATAGTGGTTTTTAGATAAAGAATATGGTTTACATTAGGGCTAAAGTATATGGTTTACACTAGGGATAAAGTATTCAGTAATTTAAATTATTTAATTTTGTCTATCACATAAACATCTATGCGTTCTTTTGGTGTTCTATATACATGTGGTACGCTTTCTTCTTTACTTCATTCGATCAACCTTCATTCCCCTATGATTCTTATACAAATCGACCACACTGACAAAAAAATATAACACAACACACATAACCCATGTCGGACCAAACTGTCAAAGCGTACCACAAAGGGCAAAACAATTGATCAATAATCCCTTATTTTCTATACTGTTAAAAAATTCATACCTCGCAAAGCGGGGTTCCTCATCTAGTTATTGATAAAATTGAAACCAAAGATGAAAATAGTTGTTTATACAACATGCAAAACTGAGTTTTTTGGTGCCTAACAATTAAAGATGCTTAATTAGGAAATGGATTACTAATCGAAATAAATGGTTTTCATCCGTTGTAAAGCAATATTTAATGTGTGTGTTTATTTTCTTTAAACAGCTAAATAGTATATATAAGATTAAATAATCATTAGAAAACAAGAAACTAATGAGTGGGTTATGCACATTTTAACAAAAAAAAAAAAGTCAGATTACGTTTTAGTACTGAAACAAAAAAAAGGCTGCTTTGATATGCTTCCTTGCGGCGCTTGTAACTCATTCAATTTTTAATCAAATCAAACGTTTGTATAGTCTAAAATTATCTACAAAACCTAAACAACATGTAGGAAAAAGAATCAGGTCAAAACAACTTAAAATGAGTTAGATATGCTCATTTTAACAAAAAATCAGAATACGATTCATTGCTGAAATAGAAAAAAAATCTGATTTGATATGCTTCCTTGCGGGGCTTGTAACTCATTCAATTTTTAACCAAATCAAGAATTTTTATAGTCTATGTGGAAGTTATTACAAGGAATACGATCAAACCTGAAAGTGGAAGTGGAACTGGAAGTCATGACTCACAATATCATCGAACACCCTAGCATTAAAGTATCTTAGACCTACTTTGACTTTCTCGAACCTAATGAAAATGATGAATTATTACAAAGAATACGAGCAAGTTAAAAGTAAAAGTTGTGTTGTGTAGAGTTTAACAATTAATCATTTATAATGTTTTGTAGAGAATTCAATTGTGTTTGTGTTATGGTTATATTATTTTCAAACTTAAACAATCATTGGAGTTCTTAAGTTTTAGTTATGTAGCTTTGTTTGAAGGGTTATTAGATTTTTAACTTTTTTTTTGGAAATTTAAATGGGTAAACCTATTTATTAGAAAAGTTGGGTTGGGAGAGAAAAAAACAGATCAAATCTATTTCAGTCTATTTAATAAAAAAGTTGTGTTTGGTTGGAAAATCAACCCATATTCTTCATTAGGTTGTGATGGGTTGAGATTATCATCCCGTTTAATTAAACCGTTAAACCTCAAAATGACCTAATCCAAACAAATTTATTTTCACCCTTAAGTTGTCATGATGATCGTGGCGAACCCACAAAGAAAAAGTGAAAAACCATGGGATATACAAATTTTTTAGGGGTTGCACTACTAGAAAAAAAAAACTAATTTCCAAATGTAGTTTTCATCATAAAATCGTCACTAAACTAGTGAATTTACATTAAAATCATAATTATCAGACTTTGCGATGGATTGCTAATGGATTTGTGACAGATTTTTAATGGATTTGTGATAGATTTTCACTAAATTTACATTTGACTAAAAAATTTGAGGGATAGCCCATGCTAGTGGATTTGTGATAGATTTTCACTAAATTTACATTTGCTAACGGTTTTCAACATTATTCGTACTAGTGGGTATTGTGACTTCCTTGGGCCTAACCTGATTAGTTTTACGCCCGATCAAGTACGAATAATGTTGAAAACCGTGCCTTACGTAACACTTGTTGAGCTGTGTTTCTGTGAGCTTCATATATATACCAATTACTTTCCCACCAACCTGACTACAATGATGCTACATACTTAGCCGTAAGTCCGGTCATTCATAAACGCATTAGACATATTGAAATTAATATTCATTTTAGATAGTTTATAATATATTGTTAAATAAATGCTCATTTAATCATAGTTTATGATAATTCTCACTTTTTAACATTTGAGTTTGATTAAATTCATCTAAGAAACAATAATGATGAAATCGAAGGAATTGCTGTCTCTCTCGAAGGAGTAGTAAAATTCAATTAATTGCAGTCCGTAGAAAATATAATTTAATACTAAATTGCAAAAAGAAACACGTAGTTCTTTTACCAGCCGTCGTGCTCCCATGTAATCAATCATCCACCATACTCTTCCATCTTTGACATATACAAATTCAATAAAATAATTCCATCACTTCTCACTATAAAACGTCCAAACCACAATCACAAAAAAATATACCCATCGAAATTCGATTCAAAGACATACAATAAGGAAGACCATGGACACATTCTCCAACGTTGTCTTTCTATTCTGCGTGGTGGTATCAATCGTCTTCGCCTCTGCTGATGCTGCTTATGGAGCTGCTAAGCTTCCGGACATCCCTCACAAGATGAAACAGAAGGAAATTCCTAAATCCATTGAAGTTCAAGGCCTAATATATTGTAAATCCGGCCCAAAATTCATCCCACTTAAAGGTATAGACTTGATAATATGAATTGTATATATTTTAGGTATTAAAATTCAAAAAGACAGCAACTGTGTTACAAATTTAACATGAGTTAATGGATGATTACCTTTTTTGATGCATACACAGGAGCCACAGCAAGAATAACTTGTTTGGCAAGAAACCAAAAGGGACTTGAATTAGCACCATTCTCCGTCTCAAGTTGCCCAGCTGATGATAAGGGTTACTTTTTAGCCAAACTGTCCCCTCCTTCGACGAAGTTCTTAAAGAATGCTCAGTGGGAGCTCAAAGAGTGCAAGGCCTTCCTGGAGAGCTCGCCATTGAAGGACTGCAAGGTTCCTTTGGATATTAATGGAGGGGTTAAGGGTGCTCATATTATTTCTTCTTCATCTCATCGTCTCCTTAAAAATGCAAATCTCTATTCTCTCAACCCTTTTTCTACACTAGTGATAAACCTCAGACGGTCTCCGATAAGAAGAGATATTAACAAGAGAATATTGATTTACTCTTGCAATATTTACGATTTTTTCCCTCTAATTTTTAAATGTACTTTGTTTTTATATTTCCCTTCCTTTTGTTGTGATCGAAGAAAATTGCCTTTTTTGTCTCAATTCAAGTGCAAATTCTTAGTGTTCACATTATAGCAAGAAAGAACAATGATAATCAAGATGATGTTCTAATTTTGATGATATTGAGTTCAAACCATATAAGCTACACAACAAGAAAATAGGCTTTAGCGACGCGGACTTTAGTGGCGACACCATTATTAGCAGCCGCATTTAAACAACGCATCTAAATGTTGCCCCTAATGGTGGCGTCGCCATTAAAAGTGACATCACTAATACAACGGATTGGATGGTATCCCCTCTCGATAACCGTCTTTTGCGGAGACAGTTACATTTTTATAGTACGGATAGGGATGCAAATTTTACCTTGTGGGTACCGACCCTGACGGGTCGGGTATTACTTGTCTTAACTGGTAACGGGGCGGGGACAGAACCCAAAGTGGGGACAGGTCAGAGACGGATATGACAATATCTTTCCCGTTTAAAACCTGATTATATATATATATATATATATATATATATATATATATATATATATATATATATATATATACACCTAAGCTTAGGTGTGGCTGTAATGTATATTCCTTATCCCCTAAGCTTAGGTACTAAACTTCTAAAATATGTCGTTTTAACTTGATAAATATACCCCGTTGGGTTTCACTTGGTAAATATACCATCCTCGATAACATTTCTTTCTTTCATTATTGTTTTACCATCTATGTTTTCTTTCCTCCATTATCGTTTATTACTTCACCCAAGTGAACACTACTTTTTTCCACTGTCACGAAGGACAAATATAATCAATATTCTTGCTTCCTTATTAAAACCCTAAACCCTAAACCACCCTAAACCCTAAATCCTAAACCCTAAACCCTATTGTGTCGATCTTGAATTTACATCTTCAAGTATTAATCGTGAATCCACTAACCGTAATCTTTATATAGTAAAACAATGTATTTTCAAGAGGTTTAATACCTAAGCTTAGGTAGGACTGTAATGTATATTCTCTTTTCCCTATATATATAATGTATGGGGATTAGGAAAACTTATTCACGGTATCAACATTTATCAAGACGACACTTTAACATATCAAGATTTTGACTCCTCGTTTCTTTTAGTATTGAATCACCGATCAATCTCTTCTCGGCTTCTCTTAAAATCACGAGCCACACACGAAAATTATTCTTCTTCCATTAAGCCCTTCCTTCGTCTTTGATTCTTCAGTTCATTATTCAAACTTCATCTTATTTCTTGAATTAGTGCTTCACCAGTCATGAATCATGATGACATCAATCCTTTGCCGTCAACCTACTAGAACAACGTACAAGAAGTTCTAGCTTCTTCCAAAAATACTAAGCCCAGGTAAGGATTTCAATAGATTAGATTAATTTGTAACATATTAATCATTCGTTTGATTTTCCTGCACTCGACTTTGGTTGTATTACTCACTTGATTGAGTGATTTTGGTTGGAGAAACCTAATTAAACTATGAATTGTATAAACCTAATTAGTACTCACTTGTATCTATTTTGGTCTATTTTGGTATGCATCTATTTCAATCGATTAACTTGGTCTATAAATGCAACCAATTAATCCTTCAATTCTCATAGTAATAAGCTTCATCCAAATACATTAGAAGCATTAATTTGTGTATAATATTGGCTATGGGATTAGAAATTAGGTATGGTTTTCTATATTCTAACTCTTTTATATTTTACTTTTTTTTAATATAAATTTTTTGTAGCAAGACTTATATTTGTTTATTTTTTTATTGTTAGGTACTTAGGTTATAAAACGGGTCCAAGATTTGTGAATTTTGACACTTAGCTTATAAAAAATTGTTGTTTGTATCTTGGTTTCTTTACACAAACTTGAATGTTGTGGATTTTGTTTTTATTTTAGTTGTTTAGTACCGGTTTGTCGTTATCTTTTTTACTATTTCGTGTATAAGAATGAAGTAAGAACTGTTGAATGTTTTGGTTATCATTATTATTATTATGTTTTTTTTTTCAGATTACAAAATAATTGATTTTTTTACTAAACGAGTATCCACCGGGTTCCCATAGGTATCCATCGGGTTCCATGTATCTGGCGTGGATTTTTCTACCCAAACCTTATGGAGATTTGGTGGGATGGGGCAGGGATGAGTGCGTGGAACGAAATTCAGGTGCAGGGACAGGTTTTGTAGTATTCGTCAATATTTGCCTCCATTGACATCCCTAAGTACGGACCTTAGGCAACATAAACTTCTTTGGGTTAGTTGGAGAAGTATTATACTACATAAAGATAATTGTGGGTTTGGTTTTTGGATCAGTCTTTCTACTTTTAATAATGTGTTTTTTTTCAAATAACGGTGGAGGTTTTTTGAAATTACGAATTGAATTTGGGTAAACACTACTAGGAAAAGAAGACTTTTAATGACAGACGAATTCCGATGCACTATAATTTTATGACAACCAAAAAAAGAGTCTTTCATAAAACTATATTATATTTTATAGAATATTAATGATTTATGAAAAAGTTGATTGCCGTAAATTTATATCATATTTTGTGAAATTTTACTACGTAACTTATTATAGTGTCTAAAAAGAAAAAGAAAAAAAAAGACCGGCACTAAATTGTAATTTTGGCTATCATATTAAGAAAAAGGACGTCGTCTCATATTCTCGCTTTCTATATCGATATCCCTTACGCCTTCGTTTAAAACACTCAAGTACATTCAAGCTTTTATAGAGCTCACGAACAAAGATTAGGGTTACTCCTTCACTCCATCGTTGTCGTGCTTACATGTCCTCACAAATTTGGCTTAGGGTTACTGCATTGCCTCACCATTTTTGTTGTCGGCCACATCGTCACAAAATTGAAAGGCGATTTAGGGTTTCTGAGGTCATTACTCCATCAGTGTTGTGCTCACGGGGCCTCACAAAGTTGACTCTACAAGTCTCCACCTCGCTATTGTCGTCGCCGATCACACCCTCATGAAATCGACAATGATTTAGGGATTGGATGTGGAATTAAGGGAAGGTCAAGGTTCATAATATTCATTGATGTTGTCAAATTTGTTGCTCTTGTTAAACTCTTTTAGAAACAATGTTAAATTCGTTCAAAACACACATCATGTAAAAGTGTTTATTTAGTGTTCATGGAAAGGGCTTACGAATGGATATAAGAAAACTTAAGTGAGATGTGATTTTTAAAGAGTTTGTCGGTTGTTTCTTGTTGCTAATGGTTACAAAAACCATGACTGATGTACATAGTGTTTTGTTGCTTATAGTCATAGTTCAGTGTTTTGTTGTTATACTAAGTGATATATGTCTGTTTCAGACCATTAATCAACAACTAAATGAAAATTTTATTATAAATATTTACAACTACCTATATGCCTCTATAATCATTAACGTTGGTATGAAAAAGTGATCAGTGGAGAGATGAGTAGTTTTTGTAATATGCATCTATAGTCAATAAAGGATTTTTTTAATTATATGAACGGTGACTTTTTTTACTGAATGAACCGTTTGAATGACTGTTTTACCCTTACCATTTTAATTTTCGATTCTATTACAGGGTTGTGAGCATGAGGTTGCTGAAGCTAAGAAAGGTTCTTCAAATGAACTCAGAAGTGAGTACCTTTTGTGCTTATCATGGGTTCTTGTGATATAGCCATGCTTGAAGGTGAAAACAGAAATTTAAAAATGTTTTAGTTTTATTAAATCTTTTTGACTTGAGAAAGAAAAAATTTAATCAACTCTTACTATAACTTTAGTCGGTTCTGCTCTAAATGCAAGAAATAACAATTTACTTTCTATTTCTTGGATTAGGGTTTTTTACAAAATTTGTAAGTGGAAGTAAGTTGCTATTTTCTGTATTTAGGTCTTTTTTTGTTCAAATGCAAGAAATACCAACGCGCTTTCAGTGATTTGACTTAAAAAACAAAATTTTTAGTGAACAAATGTTTTTAGAAAGCCATCATAGGTAATGAGAGTAAAGACTTTTGTTTGTTGAAATATTCTCTTGATGCCCACATAAGGATCCTCTTGATGACCTTGAAGGGAAAACATGTTGTCAGTTTGTATGAAAGTGGACTCGTAAAGTTAATATTTTGAGAAAGATTTTGTCTTTATTACTGTACATCACAAGTAAGATGGAAAATAGTTTGCTTTCTAGACATTTAATTTGAGAAGTTGACAATGTTGTATGTTGTGTGACAGCTATATCTATCATTTTTGTGTCATAATGGCGAATTGGGGAAGTCGCAACATACAAGGGTATATCTATTAACTCTCTTTAATACCTTCATTTGTATTATGAGGCATGGACATACATTTATAAAATGTTATAATCTGGTTTATAAGTGAAGGAGATGTAACCCAGTTGATTATATTTCCATTTGTTATGCATATGGATCCTATAAAGGTCAAATATAACATTTTTAATTATATATTGATTATATAAACATTTTATTATATTTTTTAATTATAAAACTTTAAATATGTAACTCTAGCTATATGAAGGAAGAGTGGAGAGGGAGGCAGCAGGAGACATCTAAATGTATTTGGATTTGTATCTTCAAGATTCGATAATCTACGCTTTATTTCACATGAGGTATTATCTGGATAAATGTTCAAAAAGGTTTGAGAAATGGAAAGGCTGAGCAATGGGAAAATTGTGAAAAGTTAGGAGATACTTACTATATTAAACGGTTCTTTATGTATTAACTCAAAAAGAAACACAAAAGCTTACTACTATTTACTTTACTATTAGTATTATAAACTAAGTTTTTCTTGTTTATGCAGTTACCACAACAACCAAATTCATTCATCTATTGTTTATTCTTGCTCCAGTACGTAGAACTTTGTAAGTAAAAATGTTTTGAAATTGACTTCACATATAGTTAATAGACAACTTTCAACGGAAATATCTACAAAATTCCAATGTGAAGACGTTTTATTTGATGTGTCTGAGTGCTATAACTTGGGATGATTTTGAAATAGCGTTCACAATGGATAAGTTGATCGGTGCTATAATAACTAGTTATACGATGTAAGTGCCTATTTTACTTTATTTTATGCATATAACCAACTTACTAAACTTTCGTATCTTTTTTTATCTTAATTAATAGATACTTATTTGAAGAAATCACGAATAGAGGAAACACAATCTGTTTTTGTGAGCCCTAATGTGATCTCTAGGGATGGACGTATGGACAACTTCATGAAAAGAGATTAAGCAAGTAGAGTCATAGCATGTTGGTTATCCACAAGAAAGGACAATGACATCATCTTACTTCCTTACAATCATGGGTTGGATTATCCATTTGATTCTGTTTGACTTAATATATATAGAATGACTTAATGGGTTAAGTAAAAAAAATACCACTGCATTTGGTTGTTATTTGGCTAAAATTAGAATATGAAAATAAAAGTAACATGAATCTACTATGGAATAAATAGCAACATACTTTAGTTGATTCGACTTTGGTAAAACAAAAATACATATTTTACTCTTTTTATTACACTAGTCCTTTTATGTCCCAAGTGCAGGAGATAGCAATGTACTTTGTTATTTCTTACATTTAGGCTTCCTTTAACACAAATAATTAGAAATTAAGCTACCATTTCTTGCATTTAGGCCTTTTTATTGGTTAAAATGCAAGAAATAACAATTGTTGAATCATATAAGTGACCCTCTTGAACTCAGTCAACCGCAGCCTACCAAGATCCGCAGTCAACCCTGATCAGCAGCCCCATCCGAAGTCATCATTATCTGTAGTTCACTATCTTGTTTTTTCTAGTTTAGCTCTTTATCTACTTTTATTATAATACTCTCTTTTGTCCAATATGCCTTGCATGGCTACGCATAGATAGTTGAACAAGTGTAATTTTTGAGTCTCTATATATAGAGCTCAATCTTTCTTATTCAATACACATCTCTGATAACACTTCGCATCTTGAATCTCATATCTTGTGTTATTACTCTCATCTCCTTCTCTAAAAGTTCACTGAAATATAACTGATTATTATCTCCCTTCGGAGCAAGTCATTCTTGACTTAATCACTAAGATTGATCTCACTTACTAACTTGGTCTGATTGCATTCCTTGTTAAGAATCAACTTATTTGTATACTTGATATAATATCTGTTGTCATTTATATTTCCTTACATTTCCGCAACTAACTCTCTAATTATCTAACTCTAACTTATTATTATTGTTGAGCTTTTAGATCCTTTGAGATAAACTATTCCGCAACTATACTTGTTCTAACGTTTGTTCAAGTGTGTCTCAAGTTTTCCTCTCAACAATTGGTATCAGAGCCAAAGTGGTTGCCTATTGAAACAAAACTATGTGTTTCAAAAAGCATTCTATACCACAAAAGCTCATTTTCTTTAAAAAAAACAAAAAAAAACTTTTCAAAACAAGGAAATATGGCACAGACATTATCTCTTAATGTATCAAACAGTGCTGGTGGTTCGAATAGAGCACCAATACTTGTGGCTAATGAATATCATCACTGGTCTCAAAGAATGGAAAGATATTTGAGGAGACTCGGAAGAGATGTATGGAGATCTGTTGAAGAAGGGCCTCATGTCCCTGTTCTTACTCCAGTACAAACCGATGGAGCCACAGCCAGACTAGGAGGAGGTCAACCAGCGATGAATCGTCCCACCAAAGACGATCTTGACAAAATTGAAAATGACGCTATTGCTTTTTATGAGATTTCCTGTGGAGTTGCGCCTGACAACTTCGACATAATCATAAACTGCAAGTCCGCAAAGGAGATCTGGGATGTTCTTAAAAATCTGTATGAAGGAACTGAACAAGCTCGAGACAAAAAGCTTACTACTGCACTGAATGAGTTTAATAACTTTAAAGCTCATGCGGGTGAAAGCTTGGAAGATTCCTTTAAGAGGTTCAATCTGATAGTCACAAAGCTATCCAATGCTGGCACGGTCCGAAGCAACCATGAAACAAATCTTCAGTTTCTAAACAACTTAGGAAGACACTAGACAACTGCCAAAATGATTGTTCAAGGGGATAGAAAAATTCATTCTCTGTCTCTTTATAAGCTCTACGGTGAACTACAAGCTCAAGAGTCTACGGTACTCAAAGACTGTGCAGACTTCGGTGGTCCACTTGCTCTCGTTGCACAATCTCCTCACTCTCAATCATACTCCACTGCATATGACAACCCTCCGCAGTCATATGAAGCAGACTCAGAGTATGACGATGAAGAAGAATTTCAGAATGCAATTGCTCTTGTCAGCCAACAATTCAACCGAATACCACCTTCATTCCGAAAGAATCAGCAGTATAACAAGCCACCTTTCAACCGCAATCTTAACTCTCAAAACAATCACTCTCGTTTCACAAAAAAACCTTACCCACCTCTGCAGTCTCAAAATACTCAACCCAAGGAGGCACCGCAGTCCATCCAAACCACTGACTCCGGTACTCCCTCAGAAGATAAAAGTGATATTGTGATATGTCACAAGTGCAACAAAGAGAATCATTTTGCCAAAGACTGCAAGGCAAATGTAGTAAAAGATAGAGCATTCTATCTCAGAATGGCTCAAGAAATGGAGGAAAAAGAAAAAGGAAGGGCGTATGTTGCTCAAGTGAAAAGAGACCATCAAGTTTGGTCCTCTAGGGATGAGGATGACGACATCAGCAGCATCAAAGGAAAGGGAAATATATGTATGATAGCGACTGCTGATGAAGATGGCTCTGCAAATATAGAAAAGAATTACTGCTACATGTCAAATATGGTTCTTATCAAAAACATCGTAACTTTTCTAAATCTCACAACACTCCAAAAATTCACAAACACCCAAGACTAGGCTTAAAAGTTGACATAAAACCTGTCCCTGCAACCTCGGTTCATGCATCATTCAGAAACTCAGCTTTTACCTCAGGCTCCAAACTAGTTTGGATGCCTAAACTAACCGTGTAATTCTCAGGCTTTGTGCCAGGAGGACCATGAAGAAGAATGGTTAATCGACAGTGCCTGCTCCTTGCACATGACCGGAATGTTGGAGTACCTTCGGGATTTCAGGCCAGATTATAATGGGGGTAACGTCACATTCGGCAACAACGCGAATGGTATCATCCGAGGTTACAGTGTTCTTACTACTAGAAACTTTTCTATCCAAAAGGTCGCTTATGTGGAAGGTCTTAAACACAATCTCATTAGTGTTGGCCAACAATGTAAGGCAGGCCATCGGGTTGAATTTGATGACCAATTCTGCTACATAATGACAAGGGATAGGAGCACTTGCCTAATCAAATCCAGATCCGAAGGTACTATGTATCCTCTGGATGTCTCTCTGATCATAGGCAAACCGCAGCTATGTTTCCTATCAAAAGTTGTATCCGAAGTTAGCTGGCTCTGGCATCGCAAGCTTGCTCATCTCAACTTCCGGTACATCAACAACCTGGTCATAGGGGAACTTGTGAGAGGTCTCCCTATTCTTAAATATCACAATGACACTCTCTGCCCTGCATGTGAGTGTGGAAAACAGGCCAAAGCAAGTCATCCTATGATAATCGACTCTTCAAACTGGAACTTCTCCATATTGATCTCTGCGGTCCATCCACCGTAGCCAGTCTTCACCATAAGAAATACATACTGGTTATAGTAGATGACTTCACACGTTTCACATGGG